TCTAAGTTTGGCTAGAAAACAACATGATTCTAGAGTTGAAGGGGGATCCACACTATTCTATATAGGGATGTTAATAAAGTATGAAAACCTAGCACCAAGATCTGATTATTTCAGACAGATCATCCGTTTACATGATCGGAATTCTGAAAGTTGCATTCATTTAATTGGATAGAATGTGGATTGAACCCTACATAATCCAATTAGGATTTAAAATTTTAAATGTAATTAAGGGGATTGATTTTTTATGCATATAAGCACATATACACAAAAAGAGATTATTTTTAAAATTTCTTTAACTTTCCTTTGTTTTGAAGGTAATGAAATGGTTCAGATTAAATCTAAATTAATCTTAAAAAACCCTAGATCTGATAGAATTGGGATTTGAGGTTTTAATGATGGGATAGGATTTAGCTGTGTCTGGGTCTGATCTGAATCTGACCGGATTAGAGCCCTAATTCTACATATATTTTTATATTGAATTAAAATATATTTATCCCTTTTCTTGGTGGAGGCTAGACACATGTTTGAAAGAGTCTTCTTGTTTGAACAAGAAAGCACGGTTGAAAGATTAAGGGGGTGTTGGTCAATGTGTTTGATTTGTTCTTTAAAACAAAAATAACTACATGAGCAAGAACAATATTGACCAATAAATATCACTTCAACAAAAGCAAAAACAACAATATATTTATTTCTCATGTGACAGCTATTTCTACTTAATTTTTAAAAACAAAATCATGCATATTGGCAAACACCCCCTATACTTATAAGCCATTTGGTCCAAATTGAGGACTTAAAAGAGGAGCTAGAAATGGGCCAAAGAAAGCATGAGTTGATGTAATGATATGAACTAAGGAGTTAGAAATATATATGTATTTTTATCATTTGTTCAGTTTCCCAACATATTCATATGTGTTCTAGTTTTTCATTTTATTTACACATTTTCAAAACATATTTCGATATGTTTCTTAAAATTGCTTTTTTGGTATTCTGTACAATATTAACACTTTTAACCCTACCTCCAACGCTGGGTGTGAAAACATGATCAGATGTCTTTAAAAGCAAGGGTAATGGTGACAAAGACTTTGACAGTGAGAGCCCCATACCCCAATTAAACTTTTTTTCTTTTTTATAAGCTCCTCAATGGAGACCACACATAAGTGAATAACTACATGGATCCTAAAATTATCTTTGCCTGCCCCTCAATGGGAGTAAAGCTTGGAGTTAAAAGAAAAGGAGAAAAGAAACTACATGGATCCCAGTTGAATCATTTTCAAAATGTTTCACCATGACCCTTTACTAAAGTTGGTGGACATAGGCTTGCATGATCCTATAACACTTAGATCTGTAGGATTTGGTTTTCAGGTTTTCTGTCTCACAGATGATCATTGTTAAGATTAAAATGAAATAAAAAGAAAGAAATGGTTTTCTGAAAATTACTATTTTGCAATGTTTAATTAGGCTATGCTTGGTCATAAAACTGCTCCAAAGAATCATACTTTTTAATGCTAATGATATTACTCCCAATTCTCCCTTAAGTACTTTTCCAAATAGAGATTTGCCCTCCTAGATATCATTTATTGAAATGGTTATATATTTTATGACTACAAATTTTGTTTTTTCAAAGTGAGACACAAGTCACACAACAAAAATCAGGAATATGGTTTGCTTTCCAAAGAAATAATCCATTTTTTTTCATTCATTTTACTTACAACCAAACACAGCTACAATGAGAAGACCATGGTCTGCCGATATAGAAACCCCACCAGGCATATTGAGACCCAATGTTTTAAAAACTGATCCAAAAATCGAACCGCTTTGGCCTCCAGTCTCTGGGTCAGTGGTTCAACCATCCGATTTCAATGGGTCAAATCAATAAGATTTAAAATAATATAAACATTTACACTCTGATCTTCAGATTACAATATAGGTTAAAATAAACAATATATATATACACATTATTATCAGAGGAGGAGCATTAGACTTTGAGAAGGGCGGTTGGTTAAAGCTAAGAAAGAAGAAGAAGAAGAAGAAGAAGAAGAAGAAGAAGGAGGAGGAGGAGGAGGGGGAGGAGGAGGAGGAAGCAATGTCGGCACGCCATGTTCACTGTTAGTAGTTTCTGCACCGTTTTTCAAAGAAGAAGAAACAGAAGTTCACTGTATTCATCATCACCACCGCTACAACACCATTTACCCTCTTAGATCTCTCTCATCTCTCTAAATCTCACTTAAATCCCTTGGTTAGAATATTAGTGTCTACACCATCAAACTATAGCATCTCATACACAAAATATCCATGATGTCTCAGGTTTAAGGATCATCTACATGACTATGATGATAAAAATAGTTTCTAATAATATATTCTATGTAATTGTTCTACTAATGGGTCAAGTTCATTGAACTTGTTCTCTAACAAACACTCACACATTTGCTTTAGTGTCTCTACACAAGTGACTTGATATTCACTACCCCATAAGGAAAGCATAATATGTGTTAGTATATCCAGATTAATTATCAAAGCCCTTATAAATGACTAGGAACTATCTTAGGATCTGATACCAATGATGGGCATATCTTAAATTCTTAACACATTTAAGAACATACCACCTTAAAAAATACCATGCTATTCATGTAATTATAAGTTAAAGGACTTGAATATAAATTGCCAAATTTGTATTAAAGTAAAGTATAATCGATACAAGATTGCCCTTTTACATTGTCACTAATAATGGTTTTAAGGCATACAACTAATAATAGTCCGAAGCCAGTGCAACAAGAGGATTTCCTTAGTTGTGTAACAACCAAATTGAGTGAGCAGGAGAAGGATTTGTTAGAAAGGGAAGTCACAAATGAGGAGATTAAGGAGGCTATTTTTCAGATGGCCCCTAGGAAAGCTCCAGGACTTGACGAATTTCCAAATTTTTTCTTTCAGAAATTTTGGGGAATTGTAGGAGCTGATGTAATTGAGGCTGTTAAGGTTTTTTTTTTTTTGAGTCTAGATATTTACTAAGAGAATTTAATGAAACTGATATAGCCTTGATTCCAAAAATAAAAAATCCAGAGGAAGCTACTCACTTTAGGCCTATTAGCCTTTGCAACTCATTCTATAAAATCATAGCAAAGGTTCTAACTAATAGGATCAAGCCTCTTCTAGGAGGGTTAACCAGTGAAAATCAAAGTGCCTTCATTCCAGGCAGATACATACAGGATAACATTCTGATAGCTCATGAAATTATATGGGTTTTGGAGCAAAGTGGGTAAATTGGGTCATGAAATGTGTGTCTATTGTCTCTTATAGGATCCTGGTCAATGGAAGCCCTGGCCAAAAGTTTGTACCAAAGAGGGGGCTGAGGCAAGGAGACCCTCTGTCCCCATATTTATTTTTACTTTACTCTAAAACTTTGTCTGCAAAGCTCACAGAGCATGCTTCCCAAAAGAAAATAAATGGCATTTCAATTACCAGAAACTGTCCAACTGTCTCTCACTTGTTTTTTGCATATGACAGTTACATATTTTCTAAAGCAAAAATGGAGGAAGGGCAAAGTATTCTGGGTGCTCCCAAATCTTATGAAGAGGCCTCAGGGCAACAAGTACACTTCTCCAAATCAGAGATTTTTTTTTCAATAAAAATTTGCATCATAAACTGCAAAGGCTTTTGGAAAATTTTCTAAAAATGAAAAGAGTAGAATCTCCTTCTATATATCTAGGGCTTCCTACAAAAATTGGTAAATCAAAGAAAACCCTATTCAACTTCTTAATTGAAAGAGTTGAAAAACTGCTATCAAAATGGCATGAATCTCTTCTATCTCAAGTGGGGAAAGAAGTTATGATTAAAGCAGTAGCCAGTGCAGTCCCAAATTACACAATGTCATGTTTTCTCCTTCCAAAGGAAGTGTGTAATGAACTAAAGAAAATCCAAACTAGGTTTTGGTGGGGGGGGGGGGGGGGGGGGGGGGGGGGACAAAGGATCAGAGGAAAACACACAGGGTTTGTTAGGAGGTTTTCAGCAAAAATAAATGTGCCTGAGGGTTGACGTTTAGGGATCCTTATAACTTTAACTTGTCTTTGGGTTAAGATTATAAAGGCCAAATACCTAAAGAGAAGAAATTTCCTGACTGACAATCTACCTACTAGAGGTTCCTGGGATGGCAAAGTATGGTGGCAGCAAGAGAGGTCCTCCAGAAAGAAGCCTGTTGGGCTGTAAATTCTGGTACAAAAGTTAGAATATGGGATGACCCTTGGTTAGATCAGATTAAGTCTTTTAGAATAATGGGGCCTAGGACAAATAACCCAGAGTTGACTTGGGTTAAGGATCTCATGGTGGAAGATGGTAGAAGATGGAATACAAGATTAGTGGAAGAAAATTTTGGGGAGGAAATTGCTAAAAACATTTTGAGTGTAAATTTAGCAAGGGGAAACTGGGATGACAAACTGAAATGGACCTTCAATCCAAAAGGGTTTTACATAGTTAAAATAGGGTATTATGCCTTAATATCACAGAATAGTAAGCCAACCATTGGGATCTCAAACCCTATCAGTGCAGTAAATATGGAGAAAAAGTAGTGGGCTGAAATCTGGAAAGAAAAAATTGACCCAAAAATAAAGAACTTTATTTGGAAATGTTCTCAGAATGCTCCAGCAATGAGAGAAAACCTCTTTAAAAGAAAACTTATGATTGATAGCATCTGTCCAATTTGTGAACATCAAACAAAAACCATTATACACTATTTATTTGATTGTGAACATGCCAGAGCAACTTGGTTTGGTTCTCATATGAATTATCTAGGTTTAGGAGGGGGATCATTTAATTCTTTCAACCATTGGCTCTCATCTTGGTTGGACTTGTGCTTAAAAGATAGAGATAGAAAAGATGAACTGCTTTCTTTCTCTTTTCTTTTACTTTGGAATATCTGGAAGGCTAGGAATAGCAAAATTTTTGAGAATGCTAACCCGATTCCTAGAGTTACCCTTGCTATTTCTTACGGGATGTGGAGGGAATGAGTGATGATTTCCCAAGCAGGATTGCAAGATTCTTCTCCTCAACATTCAAGCCTGAGTGAGATGGCATCTTCTTTTTGGGAAGCACCAAAAGCAAGAAAACTCAAGATGAATGTAGATGGGAGTTTTTTGAGTCCTGAAAATTCAGGTTTTAGTACAGTTCTAAGGAATGATGTAGGATCAGTAATAGCTACAGTTTTTGGTAAATCAATAGCTTCGTCTCCCATCCAGGCTGAAGTGATGGTGATCCTCAATAGTCTAGAGGTTTTGAGTATGTACAAGGAGAAAAATATAGATGTGGAATCTAATTGTCAAATTCTGGTACAGGCTCTGAAGACAGGAAATTTGGACTTGGTCTCGGATGCAAACTTTCTGTGCATGGACATTAAATTACTAACTGAAGAGTTGACAATTTCTTTTAATCATGTAAATAGATCTTGTAATGCTGCGGCACATATGCTAGCCAAGAGAGACATAGGGTGAAAATCTGTTGAGAAAGACAACAGTCAAAGGGCCTGAGTAGATCTCCTGAGCTACGAACTCCAACGCTTAAGTCAATATATGGGCAAGGTGGAAATTAACTGAGCAGGAATTAGAATGCAATTAGTGTCTTCGGATTAATAATGTTTAGAGCTCATGCCTCAATTAACGTGGAGGTGATGGTCCAGCAATCTAGTAAACCTTAGAGGGGCACATCCATGCGGTTAAAGTGGCACATCCACAATGCTTGAAAAGTGCCTGGAGCCCACTTCCTCAGAAAATGGGGAAGTGGGGTAACCGCACCGCCAAGTGGCAATCTGTGGTTGTGCATGGTGCAGATCGGTTGCATGCCCTTGATGTCGTAGGTAGGCCAGGTTGGATGTACAACCTTGGATGTGCAGCCAAATTCAAGCTCTTTGCAGCTTGACTGCCATTAGGAGGATACCTCAGGTCATTCTGGTACTAGTAGCCTCTGAGATGTTGTTAAGCGTCACTCACGTAGCCACATGTCGCAATGTGGTGCTGTCAAGCGTCCCTCACATTGCCACGTGTTGTGGTGTCATTAGAGGTCAATTTGACTCATCAGTTCTGATAAGTGATAAAATGAGAAAAATATAATAAGATGATTTGATCATGTGCATAGTAGATCATCTACAAATTTACAAATTTGTTGAAATTTTTAATATGTTTCAAGTTGAAGGTGTAGAAGAGCCAAGACCAAAAATGACATGCTTGGAAGTAGTACATAATTATTATGTCATCCATGACCCATAATTTAAAGATGGATATGGCACTTAACAGAACAAAATGGTAAAATAAGATCCATGGAGCTGATCCCGAGACAAGATTTAGATGATGATTTGGGTACACTAATTTCAATGTATTGAGTATCCGTTTTGAAAGAAGAAAAAAATACCATGTGATTGATTTTTATCCCAAGTCAATTTGATCAAGGCTAAGTTTAGGAATGCTTATTTGAAAAATAAGTGTTTATGGGCATTTGGTGAAACATAGGTATTTTAAAAATGATGTGGTGGGCCAAGAGCAAGATAGGCCAGAAAGGAAATAAGCCTAAAATTTAATCACTCCCAAACTTGGTCAAAGACTACAAAAATGTGTTCTTTCCGAATCAATAGACTTTTGTTAGTACCCAAAAAAAAAGACATTTGTTACTACTTTAGAGTTTGAATTCATTGTACAAATACTAGCAGAGGGCATTAAAGCTCTTGTTTGTCTTCTTTGTTTCCATCCAACTCCCCTTCTTGCTTTAATCAAAAGGATCTCTACTTCATGCTCTCTCTCTCTCTCTCTCTCTCTTTGTCCCATTTCCATCCAACTCTCCTTTAACCACGAGCTTGAGTTCTCGCTTTCTACGCTCTCTTTCCCTATAAATCTATGTCAATTTTACAGTGCTGAAACTGATGAAGAAGAAATAAAATCTAAAAAGAAAAAGATAGAAAACCAAAAAGAAAAGAGAGTGAGACCTTGGACCTTATGTTAGGCTTCTTTTTATCTCTTCTTATTTTTGTTTATGGGTCTTGTCTACGATTGGGTTTTGAATCTTTTATATGTAGTAGTAATTGAAAGTAGAAATAGAACTATTCTTGTACATACCGGCGAATGAAACAAGGGAAGGTAAAAAGGCAAAGGAAATAAAGACATTTGTTCTTACTAAATCCATTCGTCTTTATTCTTCATGTCTCTCTTTTGATCATTAAGCTTGTCTTTTGCGAGTTTCTTGTTGTTGAAAATGGGAAAGAAATTGAAGAATATAAGGACAAAGGAGAAAGGGCAGCTTTTTCTTGTTCTGTGACGTTGCATGATAGAAGTCATAGAGATTATGGAAAAGCCGATTTGGGGCTTTTTTTTTTTTCTGGGTTGGATAGGTGGTTCTTTTGCCAGTGCCACCATGCTTTTGTGTAATTGGGGGTCTAATGAGGACCTCAAAATCCTATTTCTTCTTGTGGATTTAGAGGTAGTTTTCAGAATATCACCTTCTCCAACGTGCTTTTGGGTTTCTCCTCAATTTAACTTTATTTTGGTTGTTTACAAACTCTCCCATTAGGAAAACAAATCTCACTTTTTCATCTTTTCTACTCTACAGAGGAAGTTCTACACTTAGAGAATTTGATAAAGGAACTTATGATGGGGAAACAATTGAAAAGGATCGCAATCTTCAAGAAGAGGGCATCTGTTGTTGTTTTAGATCCTTCTTGGATGTGGCTGTGCATAAGAGAGAGGAAAAGAAGGGAGGAGAGGTTTTTTGTGTGGAATAGGCTGCTGCACTAAGTTGGTCCAGAAGGTTTATATATAGTTTCAACAATCAGAGTGGCGCAGCGGAAGCGTGGTGGGCCCATAACCCACAGGTCCCAGGATCGAAACCTGGCTCTGATACACAGAGTAAAAGCTTCCTCGATATTTTTTAATATTTTAAAAAATAAAACAAAAAATAACTAAACCCTTCCAAACGGGCCCCAAATCGAGTGCCTATGGCCCTATAGTTTGATGAAGGATGAACCGATGAACTAGCATTTACGCAAACGTAACAAACAGCCGAACTTATATATTCCTTTGGTGGGAGTGGGACCAATTAACAAATACATGCTTCTTCTCAATTGGACTACGGTTCTAAGCGATGGGTCTCACATCAAGCTGGACTCTTTTTTGAATCAATTTCAAAATGATTCACGTCTATATACATGCATTTAGTAGGTGCATATATACATATTTTAAACTTGCATTTGGATGGATACCTACCACTCATATCAAAGTATCAAACTGTAGTTTCATCTCTAGGATTCCTGTCTCAGGAATGGTTGGTTGGTTGGTTGGTTGGTTATAGAGAATTAGATATAATCCACAAACAGCAAAACCGTACATGTAATGAGAAGATAATCAACATTCTACAGACGATACCTGATGGGGAGGAGACATTTGAGCATTTGGTTACGCAGTAGTATGCTATAGAGACCCCTTTTTTGTTTGTTTGGCCAGGAATTATTAAAGGGCCCAACCCCTTCAGAACCCAATTTGTCTTTTGAATTTTGTCTTCGTGGGAGACATACAAGTAAATACATTATAATTGCATCCCCATAGTGGGATGTACCGGGTGTAGCCAACTAGCCATACGCGTTGAGGCCTCAGGGTGAGACAAGTCACCAACATCATCAATCTATGAACCGTGATGTTCTTCTATTCATTCTCCCCTCACCCATTCACCAATTTATTTACTTATTCTTTAATTCTTGGGTAAATTACTTTACATTTTCATTTACCCTTTTTATATATACTCATATGTTTAGAGTGAATATAGTATTATAGTTATCCCACTCCCACCCCTCTACTTACATGTCCTCAGTGTTTGTAATAGAAAAATGCTCACCATATTGAAAAGTATAGGATTTTAAAAAATTAAAATAAAATAAAAATTTGAAAAAAAAAAACAAAACTGCATTTAGTGTTTCAAATTGAGAGTATTTTCATAATTTGAAAATATATATTTCACAGTCAAAATTAATATTCTATTACTAAAAGAATTTTTATGAAATAATATTTTCTATCTCAAGATAGAAGCATAATTTTCAAGGCAACTGATTCTGTTTCACCCTGAACCGCTTTTTGGCCAAAAACCATTGACTTGATCGACAACCCTAAACCGTGGAACCAAACCATCATTCCATTCAACCTGTACAATGGTTTTTGGCCACTTTTTTAATTTAATTATTTTTTTAATTGTAAAAATCATCCATTTGGACCAAATGGTCGAACAACTGACCCAAAAACCAGTGCCAAAGTGGCTCGGATTCGAGTCGATTTTTAAAACATTGTGTAAAAGGTAACTTACCCTTTTAAATTTTTTCATTAATTTATCCTCTATTATTCATCATATCCACATGGTTAAATATAGGCGTATATGAGGGTTATTGCCTGGCTGAGATAATTTATCCTCAATTATGCATCACTGTGTTACTTCCTTATCGTCATCCAAGTGTCTATTCTTCTATCCAAAAATGAAATTTCTGTCCAACCTATGGGGACGCTGTCAGGTATGCTTTTACAAAAGCATGACACACCCACAGACTGTCAAATCATTCTGTAAATAATCCTGTTATCAGTTTTCAATACTTTAGTCTTTCATTCAAAGTCTAATATAAAAACAGATTAAGCTCCAATGAGACTCACAAATCAAAAAGGAAGTGGGATCTTCAGTGAGGCCTATTTAGTCTTTGGACCAGGAGGGTCCCATTGCCGCATTAAGCGGAAAGAGGAATGCAAAATGACCACCCCCACTAATGACACCTCCCTAAGGATTTCAAATCTACACAATTGATGGAATTCGTCTCCTTCATTCTATCCCTCACGGTCTCACCCACACCCAGCAAACATAAACAACAGAAATAGAATATCTGAAACCGATTCCATTTCCAACTGGACCACTTTTCACTACTTGAAAACCGCTGACACCACCAGACCACCTCTTGTCCATGCTATATAGTTAATGATGCACGAACGACTGAGAAGCCTGCTCAAGTCATTTGATAAATCAAAATACCTCATCATCGACTCCTTAACTCACGACAATAAAAAGTACCAACGAATCACATCTGATTTGGCCATGAACTTTGCTTGCACAAAGAAGGAAATAAATCAGTTTTGCACTCCTTGCGGTGCCCATACTAATCAGTAACCAGAATAGACTTTGGTCGCATAGGATACTTCGTAATTTTGTAGTTTCTACATAATCAGACCACCTAATCGGGCACTATAAAAAAAAAAGGAAAAAAACTTCATCTAGCAAGTAGCAACGCTATTGTGCTTTCATTTTCAAAGGATCAAAGGCTCCAGCCCAGAAACATTATTGATGATGGCCCACCCACATTTACAGCATCCCATCTCATGTACCTCTATCTTCTCCTCCCCCACTTCCATAAATGATAAACCACAGTACCAGCAGAACTTCCCTTTCCTAAAAGCAAAACCGTTACAGTCCTAGATTTTTATCTTTTGGTGAAGTTCAACCCCTAAAATTACCCCTACCATCAGTGTCAGTTCAGCATTTCAAAACTGTAAACCAGGGAGCAAGGGTCCACATGTTATAATTCACTTCTGCCTAGACTAGAGTTCCTTTTCCCTTTGTTTTTTTCAGTGCTTGTCTCACTTGTCAAGTTAAAGCACCCCTTAGTCTTTTACATTTACATACAAGGCCATGCATGGAAAATGAAACAAAATTGCTTATGGGGCAAACAGATCCCACATAATATTTATGCTTTACAAAAGGTTAAATAATAAGAACAGTAAACTCAATAACAACAGAGGAAGAAAACCACGAGAAGCTTTTAAATTTGTAAGACGATGCATGACTGACTATAAGTGGACAATGAACTTCATATAATATATACCTGGGGAACAGGAAATTGCACATGGTTTATGATGACACAGAAGAAGATATCAACTTATCTTCTCTCTAACCTCTTCACTTGGATAATCGTTCCTACTTCCCCTCTCTGCATTCTGCAACAGTTAAAAAGTAAGGATAAGAATTGATAACAAGGTCAATGCATTAATTAAAGCAAAATAATTAAACTAGTTGTAGGGTAGAGCCACATGGGGTTAACAATCCAAGAACCAAGATCTATGAACGTTTTCCTCTTAATAATAATAATAAATTCAGTTAAACTGCAAAACTCCAAAGATTCCGCATGGAACCCTCACAGTCACACGCCTAATACCCCAGTAATGGGGAGTGAGAGAAACAGTCATGGAAAGATTCTCAGATGAGAAACAGTGATGAGTCCCCATTTCTATACAGAAGAAAATGACCGACACCCCTTCCAACATATTTTAGCATATATAGGGCCCATTTTAAATTAGTACATAACAAAACACGACAATGGTGTACTAACTTGACGAAAATGACCCCTATGTTTGAGGGAGATCGCTATTGGTTAGTTGCAATTACCAAATCAACCCTTCCAGTTTAGTAAATTTATATTCAATACCCCCCCCCCCATGTTACTGAAATTTTGGCAAGTATGGTTTCCAATTACAAAATCGAGACCAATGCACGTTGAATTGTGGATGCTTGGCTCTAATTGCAACAAAAATGACCAAGATATCCTTATTTCTTTGAAGAATTTTCTATGCAAATACCAAATTCTGTTTTAGATTGAAACAAAATAGATGGAGTTTTTTTAGGATAATAATTCGAATTTGACAAGGTTTTTAATAAGACAAACTTCTGTAATTTTCAATAAACAAGGGTTGCTTTGATAAGACATGTCTGTAATCAAAGTAGAGGAAGAAAAGGAAGAAGAACAAGAAAGACTAACTTTAGATTCTTTGCCTCTCCAGATCTCTTTGCAACTCCAAGATCTCAGAATGGTAAGCTCTTCGAAGTTGAAGACTGCGTAAGAGACTTGAAGTGCTCGGACGGTGCAAAATCTAAATCTTGAGGCAAATTTGCCCTCTTTACAATTCTTCTCATGTTATTCTGCAAGCTCTGCTGTACCAACTGCTTCACTGCTTTTTTCTCCTCACTCATCATCTCATCCTCTTCTTCCACCAGACCTTTCAAATGCTGATTCGGTGCAGCTGAAGATGAGGAGGTTCCACAAATTGGGGCGGACACCGCCACACCCAAATTCCCACCATAGACTTCTGAGACTTGCTTCCCCTTGTCTACTCTCAAACATTCCAAGATCCTCGAAGCTCTCTTCTGCGCTAATGTGCTACCGAGCAGCGTCAATTCGAGCAGGGAAGATACAATTCCGGCCTCGATCATGGCTTGGCGATCTCCGTAAGCCTTGTGGGCCATCACCATTAGAATGTAAGATGCCTTCTCCTGGCATCCAGACGAATCCGTCCAATTCAAGACGTCGATCAGAATCGGGAATGCTTCCCGGGAGTTGCTGATTGCTTTCCGACCTTCTGGAGTTGAAACCACATTGCTGAGAATCGAGAGGATCCTCTCACTCACTTCCATATCGCCAAGCATGTTCAGGAGATAGGGTATGAGGTTGGATTCCAGAATCTGGGAAATATTGGAATGGGAGATAGAGAGATTGTACAATGCTCGGAGACAGTCTTGCTTGGCTTGCGTGCTGCTTCTCTCATCTACATTTTCAAGGGTTTTTACCAAGAATGGAATTGCGCCAGAGGAACCAATGATCGGTTTATTCGAGTCGAGAGCGCTCAAAGCGAGGAAATTCGCGACAATTGCTTCAGAGACTGACACATTTGGAGCCTCATCCGGAGACTCAACGAGTTTAAGCATTTTGTGAACAGCTCCTGCCTTGACAATGGCTGCTTTGTTCCTGCATAAGTCGAGAGAGAGAAAAGGGTGAGCTTTCAGATCAAAGAAACGGGTTGCGGAAGTACAAACAGGGGAAAGCGCATTTTAGAGAAATGGCGCTAAAAAATGTCCGAAAAAAAAGACGTGGTAAAGCCAATACGAGTAGGAAACGTGAATGATTCACATTTTAAACAACAACAAAGAAGTAATTAACATTTTGAAGAAATGGTGCTAAAAAAGTGGAACTGATTCACGAAAAGAAACGCTTGCAGGGGAAAAAACAGCGTTACAAACGAACGATAAGCAGAGAATGCGACTTGTCAGTGAAGTTCAGAAGAGGAAAAAATATATATCCGAAGAAGCATGAATAGAGTAAAACAAACGCAACAGAGACAGATCTTGAAAAAAGTAGAAGGAAATCAAACAGACTTGAACAATAAAATATTGGAAAAACCGAAGATTGGTAACAAAGAAAATCGAATTTGTCGCGAAGAAAAGCATAGTGAATCATACGTATCGTTTCCGATCCCTAGATTGAGAAGAGCGTAGAGCGAAGCAATCTGAAAATCGAGATCACTGCAATCAAGCATTCCTACAAGAGGAGGAATCGCTCCAAGCATAGCGAGCGTCGCTCTCGCCTCGGTATCTTCCTTCGCTAGCCTTCTAACATCCATGGCCGCTTCCTTCTGCTGCGATCCCTCCTGAAATTGCAACCTTTTGACAACTCCTTGAAGCTCCTCGAAAACCTCAAGCTTCCTCCTCGTCTCAACCTCCGCTTCATCCTCCAATCCCGTCTCCGATGTCTGCGACAAGTTCAAAAGCTCCGACAACCTCCCTGATCCGACATTCTTCTTCAATTCCGGCTTCTGCGGCGACTTCGGCTGCTCTTGCTCCTGCTGCTTCGGTTTCTGTTTCTGCTTCAGCTTCTGCATCTGTAGCGGCGATGCAACGCCAGAATCCATCTCGTGCCGGTGGCACGAAACACCACACATCATCGTGTCCAAGAGCTTCCGACGAAATGCAGCTCCCCGAATCGCTGGCCATAGCCGGAAATTCCCTCCTCCGGCCCCCTCTAGAACCACAGATCCAACGTCGTTCCTTTGATACTTCGCCATTTTTCGGCCACTTCTCCAAGCTTAACTATCGGAGATTGCCTACATTGCAGAGAGATGGAGAGAATAGAAAACTGAGAGAGAGAGAGAGAGAATTTTGTTTGCGATTTCTATTTATAGTAATGAGTGCTGAAACGCTGAGAAAGGAATAAATTAAACGAGCAAAGAAGAGAAGAAGAAGAAGAAACAGAGGGAAAAAGCTTCCTAATGAAGCTCAGTTGTTCACATTTTTTAAAGGGCTCTGGCTTTCTTCCTGGTAGGCGTGTACTGCTCTCCAGCTCATGTAATAACTCCCTGCTCCACGTGTCTTTTCTCATTAGGACCACTCAATGTGTTCGTTGATCAAAGATCATGTGGGTCCAGCTACGTGGACCCCTGCGACGTATCAGACTCTGCCTAAAGGTCGTATACTAATATATTGCTTCGCGATACATGTGATCTCAGTATGTTCATGCACGAGACGAGGAAACAAGGGTTTATTGCTTTATTAATTACGTTTATTACTTTAATGGAACGACTGATTAGTAAGCTTGGGAGAATTCAATAAACTCTGACTTCGAAACAAGAAAGGCTGACTTTTGTTTGTTTCCATGTTTCGGCTTCGCTTCCGTTTAAATTACGTGGGTGCCACTGGAGTGCTAAACGATTAAACGAAAGATCATCTGATGCACTCACCGATGAGAATCAAGGGTTGAGATTTGATCAAGTTGATTCCTTAGCGGTAGTGTGGGGCCTGCGTGCCCAGGAGTCGAAGGCAAGTGTCAATGCAGAGGAAACTTGGAACGAGAACTCTGAGAAGCCAGAGATAGGAAACAGGCAGCAGCATTTATGGTAGAGACTAGAGAGATTTTTTCGAAGTTTCTAGGGATTCTCTGAAGGCGGGAGGTGGCAAGATTTTTGCGCGCACAGCCAAAAGTCCATGGTTGCAGCGTGGGGCCCATAATCGAACAACAGAATTTCATGGGCTGCAAGAGCAAGGCCCAAGGGCTTACCAATCTTGACTTCGAATTTTCGCCACCGAGCAATGCCTCGGGTTCGGACCCTGATGCGGCCAGAGACACATGGAATCCATGTTCCCCGATCTGAGTGCAGCCGGTTCGGAGTCGGAAACGGTGAACGCAAATCGGCATCGGAACGTGAGTAGAGGATTCGGTTGTAACCGGAGCCCGGAACATGGATTCCACATGTCGTAAGAATAAATTCGTCATTTCAAATTCCGTTCTTTTGGTTAAAGTTGCCAAGCGAGGAAATTAGCCCCGACTGATGCGATGCAATGCAATGGAATGGCCCTTCACCCATGCTGTCATGTTTAGGATTTGGGAAAAGAACCAAATATATCTTTTCTCACGTGGCAATGCCGGTTTGTCACGTGCTTCGGCAACAAATATAATATTTTTGAATGCTGTGATTGGATGAGGCAGCATCTGTGGGATATTTTGGTAATAAAATAAATGTGGGTGTATTGACCAACATGCCCCCCAAAGATGCTCTCTTATCCAATCACTGAGCTTCAACAAGTGACCAATAGGTGTACTGTGTTCAATGTTCATTGAACAAGTCATGAATACTCTACCATGGTCATCATTCATTTGTGTTAGAAAATTCAGACTAAAAAATTATAAATTCCTGTCTTCTTTTTTCAGCCAATGAGTGAGCACTGAGCAAACATGCTGGAGGAGTACAACAGGAACGTATTCATTGGACCCTTGAAGTAGATAAAGAAGATCTACACAATTAATTGATGGTTCACTCTGTCTAAGGTCTCATATTTATTTTCATATTTTTTTCTCATCATCAACAGTAGATGTTGACTGCCTCAGATTGAGCATTTGTTGAAATTTGAGTAGGCTCAGGCCTCAAATTGTAATATATCATCATTCAAGCCTTATTCCAACTGAGTTCGGATTTATTTCTCACAGAATGCATTTTAAACCGATCTCACAATACCTTTTAGCTATATATTTGAAACATCTCTGTAATTATAAATTTCTATTAATGGGAGAATGTTCTTGACATACAGTTGAAATCTCACATGGTGTGAGGAGCAGATCCAATTTCATCCCAACTGTATACGGTTGAGTATATAAATCTTATTTTAATTATTTTGTTTAATATGAATATGAATCAGGATCCATTATTATAAAAACTTGAGAAAAGTCTTATACTAGCTACTAGTCTGATGCCATCCTCTTCTATCCGCATTTGGGACCAGCAGTTACAAGTTCAAATTGAGGGATTTTTCAGACCTTAATGTTGTTTAAATTCTTCAAATTGGATATCTGAGTTGGACTTTAATATTGATCATGGCACTCATCATATTATCTCTTTGGTTATATTATTTGTATATATCTGCTTATACTAAACTATCTTAACTTCGGCATTCATAAAAACTATCTTTATCTTTGCCCTAATGATACAAGAATAGATTGATCTGTTTCATGACAACCGACTCAAACAGCTTCAATTATTTCATTTAAAATAAAATATTTGATAACTACAGCAATGCTGACTAATAACATAAGATAATCATCTGATATTTATACTGTAAAAATACTAAAAGCAGGTGTCTAGTAACACGGAGAGATAGAGATAGAATATATAAAAAAAGTACACATAACAAAGAAGAGTATAACGGATGACAAAAAACCCTAATTAAGTGATTTTTTATAACAGCTAAAATAAATCTGAATGCTGCATATATATGACATTAAACAGAACGGAATGGCAAAACAGGATTCATGCGGCCGACGGACCCTATTTGAGAGACCTTCTGCATTGGGTGTATGAGTTAATTGAGTTGTTGTGGTTGAGCACAGTGTTCACAAAAAGCTTCATATTTAAGCAGTGGTTTAGATGTTGGAAAAGCCCATATTAACTTCCCAAATTTTTACCAAATATAACGTGTAAGGCCCAGCTCGGAATGGCAGAAGCCAACCCAAATGGGTGTTTAGTCACTAAACAATGCATCATACCAACACTAAAAGATTGTTTAAAAATGGTGGATGGTTGGCAGATGACTTAGTCTGCTGTATCCTGCATGTTTGTAAAGAAATATTATTAAAGAAAAGTGACAGTAAGCAGATACTGAGGATATTGATAAAAATAAGCTTTTACTAAGCAAAAAATAATAATAATAACATATATAGCAAAGGTATGGGCTCTTTGCTCCATCAATTATTACGGTAGGCTCGTGCTTTTGACCCTAAGAGAGGTGTTCCAAAATTGGCCCTCCCATTACACACATGGAGAACATTTTGCTCTTCCCTCCTATTGGAGTTCTCATGCAGCTTTCTGAATTGGCCACATGTTTGCTCACCTAATCTCCCCTTTAGTCTCTCTCACTCCACTTTGAATGGGAGCTGCTCTCTGGTGACAGTTGAGATTAGTAATTTTTTTCAATTAAAAAACCCAAAACAAAAAATGGCTTAATTTTTGGATATATTTCAGGGCTATATATGAAACCTATAGCAGATTGAGGAAGAAGCATGTGGCATGTGGTGTGTCTCTTGAGTCCATAATTAGGAAACGTTCCTGAATTGTTTATTAAGGATTATTTTATTTGCAATGCAATTTTATTTGCACTGGTATAAAACTATGGGAGTGCAAATGAGTTGAATGCAAATTTTGATTTATGTTTGTTCTGTTTGGTTGCAGTATAAATGAAATAAAATTAAAATTAAACCTGGAGTGAAGTAAAACCTAAACAATTTTTTTACTGTACAAGTCCCAATGAAATTGCATTGCAAAAAACAGGGTCTTTAAGGATCAATTTGGAAGGAGTACAAATATAAATATGTAGAATGCAAAACTTTGTACTTTGTATGTATTTGCATTGTACATATTTATATTTGTACTTCTTCCGGTTTAGGAAGAGTGCAAATATAAATATATTCGGTGCAAAACCCTTTATATGGAATTTCTTTTATTTTTTACCCCATATGGTATTTTTTGTATTTGGGATACAAATGAAGGTGCTATTCCATTGAAAAAATCCCTTAGATGCTTGCAGACTCAACTAGAAAACTTAGCTTGAGGCAGTGCTACGAAGAGGGTGCCCTCACATGAGAGCTACGAGGTCCCCACCCCAATCACTTCTGTGTATCCCATGTATCAGACTGGGCCCACAAGTTTTAAAGCAAGCTCAGATGACTTGCCAACTACTATCTTAGACTTAAAGGCCCAAAAGTAGACCTATTAAGAAAGAAACCCTATCTTAAATTCATGATTAGCAAATTAAGGGGCTAAGAACCAAGCTTAGCATCAGGGAAGCCTAAGGTGGAATCTATCAACTAGTGGGCCTGTGCCCATACTGATCTGCAACTTCTCCAGCCCCAGAGACCCATATGAAGACATTTACTCGAGTAAGGTTTAGTTTTTTGAGACCACCTTGATTCACTGAAGGAACAGAACCCCCCATGATTGATAAATTAGATTGTCCATGGGACAGATTAACTTCCTTTTTTCTGTCTTTTTTTAATCTGCAGTGGTCCTTAAATGGACCAGCTTCATAAGAGACTGATCTCTCATGAGCTTAAGTACTGAGTAGAGAGCTCTCACCTACAGTCAACAGGTTGGAATTATTTTTGGCCTAATGATATTGCCAGGTAACATTTTACTATTGACAATTGACAATTCCACAATGTACTTTGTACTTTGTGAAACATTATTTGAAATTTAAACTGGAATCATCAACTAGTTTAGTTTTGTGGGGTCAAGAATTCTGCCACTCATCTTGACTTATTGCCTCTTTCTTTTAGCCCAAGTAGGAGGTGTCCTCCACCAACTATATTTTGAATAGTAAATTGACCTTTGTTGCTGCAAACCCATTCAGGCTGTGTTTGGTTTAAAGTTTTAAAAACCAACCCGGAATCAGAACCATTCTTGCCACCGGTTTCTGAGTTGATGGTTCAACCATTTTGTTCAAACAAAAGGATCATTCCAACTTAAAAAATAATTAAAATAAAAAACAGCCAAAACCCGTTGGATAGGTCGAAGGGGTCAATAATTCAACTGCCTGCGTTAGCAGATCGCTGAGCAATTCAACAATTTTTGGCCTAGGAATAGGTTTAGGATAAAACAGAACCAGTTGTCTGAACGGTTTCCTGGTCAAACGATCCGACCCGATATCTTGTTTGACAGAAAATAAGAGAGAAACATTTTTCCCAATATCTTGTTTCGATTCACTTGTAATCGGTTTAATCAAGTGTAGTTAGGATCATCTGCGCCATGGAAATCAAGTTGC